GTCGTAGAGAGAAGATCGACGAGCGTCTCCTCCTCGATCCTCCTGCTCTCTTGTTTGACGTTCACGTCACCTCCCCGAGTCGAAACTTGCGAGCTCTTTAAATCCTACTGCGCGTAGTCGCATAAATCACACGGGCGAGCCACGTGTCCCACCCGTGAATCTCAGCCGGTGCACGGTTTTTAAACGAATCGTGGGGTTCACCGTCCTTCCAAGGGTTCCAACGGCTCCTCGCCGGTTCATGCTTCACGGCGGAGCGCAAATGACAGCCGACAGTCGGCGGAAAATTGCGAGTTGCGAGATTTTCGAGCGGAATAATTGCAGGCTGGCGCGGAGCGGAACAACGACGCAATCTATTTTTAGTCCCCGGCTCGATTTCTTCCGATACGAATCGTGTCCATCGATCCCACGGACGAACGGCCACCACGACTTCGCCTCTCCTCGCTCCTTTCACACCGTGCCTCCTTCCGTACCCGATCCTCCTCCATTCATTTCCATCATCCGATTTTTCCCCCGATCGAGCCTCCAACCACTTTTCGTCCCAACCACGAAAATCCTTAATCCTCTCGTGGCCGATTCAGAATATTATTAGTCGTCAGAGTAAACAAGTATTCACGTTTCGAGGATGAGGGGGGAAAATTTTTTTTCGAAAGCAAGAGTTCGAAACCACGAGGAGGAGAGAAACGAGGATGATCGATGATGGATCGTCCCTTGCGCAAGAGGGATCGATAGGATCGTAGTAGGATCGCGACGAAAACCGCGTTTTTTTTTTTGTCAGTGAGAGAAATTTCACTCGCGCGCGAGAATCGTTTGGAAAATTTTCGACCGAGGGATCGGAGAGTTCGGGCGAAACGGTGTCCTCGCACAAAGGGGGATCCTGACGCGAACGAGGACACTGGCAGGACCACTCCTTCGAGACTGACGCTCACTGACAGCGTTCACGACTGGTGAAATGTACGCCCGCAAAGAGCGTGCACACGAGAAACTCCCTTCCTCTCCGGCTCTCGACCGCCCCACCACGCGCGCTGTTCGCGAGAGAAAGGACAGTGGCTCTCAACCGAGCGTGCCTCCTCTCGGTGCAACCACTCCCACGTATGTACCGGGTGACTCGAGAATGATGCAACGAGAATTTTTTTGTTATTTAGGAATTCGAACGAGTGCATACATATGTAAACACGCACATATTTCAAAGATTCTTTTTTCGTTCTCTTATCGAAAACAAATTTTCGCGTATTCGGCACAATACTGGATATAAATAACGCGTTATATCTCGTTATATTTATACGTTGTATTTAAATTCGTTCGAATATCGAATATACATAATATTTATCTTACAAGACTATTTATCGAATCAGGTGTTGTAATCTATGAAATATCTAATGAAAATAGATCGACGAATTGTTTTTTTTTTTTTCTTAAAGATATTCACTTGTGTGAATAATTAATAAACAAAGTTATTAATTCTATCGAGAAACATATATAAAATTTTTGTTGAGAAAAGAATTTTTTCAAGGAAGGAAATGAATATCATTCTTTATGAAAAAAATTCTATTTTCTTGGTTCGTTACATGTATACTTGAAAATCAGGTTATACAAATCAGAAAGGGATTAATGATAAGAGGATATAGAGAAGAGAAGTACACCAGATATACTAGATACATTTTATCTGAATTTGTTTACCCTTTGTAAATCACAGTGAAATAATATACCCTAATTGTGAGAGTAAGATCAAGAGATATACAGAGGATGTTTGTCAGATATAGTGGGAACACATACAAGCAAAAGTGGAGCAATCTTGATTGAAAATGATTTCTCGATACTTATTTGTACTTTATTTTATTCCTTCCTTCCTTTATTCCTTTCATTATGTCATTATTTTCTATTTGTGGAATCTTTTACATTTGATTTTTTCGATCAACAACTCCAATATCAAAATCTATCTTCTTCTTTTTATTGATCCTGTACGAGTATCAATTTAGGGTAAAATTAAAATCTTTTTGTCTAAAATATTTTGATTTGTAAAATACACGTACATTTTTTCATAAAGATATGAAAAAAATGTTACAAAAGAGAATGTAATGTTAATGAAAGTATCGTAGATAATTTAATGCAATTATTTTGATACATTTTATGACACGGAACAATCTTATAAATAATATTATATCGAAGTATTAATTGCTATGCTATTACAGTATGCGAACTTCCGAGAGAAAGACCATTGATTCTCATTCTTTCTGATTAGAATAGATAAAGATTTATTTAATGTCTATTCATATGTCTGTATTTATGTAATGAACGCGACATTCAATTTTATTCTGATAAATGTAATAATTATTATAATGAATCATATTACTTTGCTAAATGGGACATAAATTTATTATTATTGCTGTTAAATAATTTATCTTAACATTCTCGTTTCTATGTATATAATTATAATATCATGTATAATTAATTATTTAATATATTAAATTTAATCTATCCTATATATCATAATTATCAAAATATTGATTCAAGAAGAAAATACTTAGAAGTTAAATCAATCGTTTCAAAGAAATCATTCGTGTCTTTAATTAAAGATAAGTTATTGTATATCATAAGTTATTTCAATCTTCTTTCAGTTAACAAATTATCTTTTATACGTATACGTTACTATAAATAAACATTCCTGCGCTGTAAAAAATTTTTTTTTCGTTTATTTTTCTTTTTTTTGTTTATATTTTTCGTATCAATAACAATAAATTTTTTTCTCGTTGAATAATGATGTCTGTATAATTAATTTGCGTAATCGCATTTCGATGTTAATTGTTACACGTTTACACAGTTGGCTTATAACGTGGTCATTATAAAGTAAAAATTCACGTTATTACGTTACACGTTGACCCATTACGTTCGAATTTAATTGTAGTATCGTTGCTGGTTGCGCAAAACGTCTGAATGCGTTCAACCGGTACCGGAAGTAAAAGGAAATTCGTCGAGAATGAAACTCTATATGACTGTACATATAAAATATTCGTGTGAAATTTCTTGCCAATAAAATGTATTATAACCATATTGGAAGTTTATATAATATATATGAAATATAAAAACAAAAACTTTATTGATGTAATATATATTAATAATATTTTAATTATATTTTAATTATTGATAATACTAGAAAAGAAAATTATACATTCAATGATGAATGTTATATAATAATAAAGGCAAATATAAATATAGTATGAAAAAAATATATATATATTAAAAATAATAAGATATTAAGATGATAAATATTATATAATATATAGTATATTAATAATAAATATTCATAGATTGATTCTAAAGGCAAAAAGAAACACGAAAGTTGATATACAAAAATTTTGCTCGGAGCTTATTTATTAAGTTAATGTAATTAAAATTTGCTTTCGGTGAAAAGAGATAGCGTTAGAGTGAGACAGCTTCATCTTTGTTACATTATCGCGCCACACCGCGGCGCACCGTGTCATTCTATCTCCGTCTCACTTCATCTAACGTTTAATTTAAATCCAACATACATCTTTCCATTTCAAATATTTAAATGTTTTCTTTTTTTCTATTTTTTTTTTTTTTTATAAAATAAAATACAATAAAATCAATTATTAAATTTTTAATCTTTTCTTGTTTCACTGACAATATTAAAACTTTGTCTTCCCTCCATGACAAGCAAGAATTCCAGAAACAAATTTTGAAAATTGGAAAATATCAGATGGATGTTTTGGATCCATTTTGCGCAATATGGAGCGAAATTTACTTAAATGCTGATTCTTATCGTTTCGAAAGAATGCGTCGTATTTTCAGCAACATTTTATTTATAACTACCGCTATGGGAACCGGTTTTTCGGAAGAAAAGGCAAAGCTTGAATCATTCGATTCCTGTAAAGAACGATGAATCATACGGTGCATAGTTTGCACCGCGGATTCAAATTGAACTTATTGGGAATTTCTCTCCGATCAAAATGATTTCAATATTGTTTTTAAATAATTGTATTCTGATTACTTTCTGTGAGCTAATTATTTTCTTTACCATCGGAGTGGAAAAAGGCGCGAAATTTAAGTTTAATCAATTTGTAAAAAATATGAACTTAATATACTCCGATTTATTAGATTTATCGATTTTAAAGAAATATTAAGCACTTTTCACATTTCAGCACTGAATAATAACTCAAAAAATCAAGTGATTTAATTAAAATGATAAATTTATTCATATTCATATTAATAATTTTTACGAATCGAAAAATGTGACGATCATAAAGGACAATAAAATTAATAAATTACGATTAATAAGAAAAATTGTAAATATTATATATTTATAAGGATATTAAAAAAAAAAAAACAAACAATCCAATGGAATTATATAAAGTCAAAGAAATTTCCGAATCACGACGCAAGAGGACGTAACAGTACACTATACGATCTCAACAATGGTTGACCTCGAGTTGTTCGACTTGGTGAATATAAACTGAAATTGTACGATGCGAGGAAGATTAACAGTCGTAACGATTCCGTCATTCATGAAACTCCTTTGTCATGGATGATTTTCCGCCCATGTTCATTAAAGCATGGCCATCTAACTATTTATAACCGGAACGTATGAAAAAGTGTAATCATGGACAACTTTGTCTAAGGAATTCATTATAATCGTTGAATGAAATCAATACAATTTCCATCATTGTTTCTTTTTTTTTTACTTTTTTTTTTAATTTATAATACTTTTTCGTTGTAACGGGACTTTTTTTTAATTAAAGAAAGAGATATATAAAATACAATACCCTTCTTCATAAGCATACGAACTTTTTAATAATTCTTTTCTAAGATAATATAGAAAGAAAAATAGAATTTTGAAATTAATTTCAATCATTTCTCTTCTAATTATATGGGTAAGTGAATATATGGTAATAATACCATATAATAAAATTATATGGTAATAAGTGAAACTGTGCAACACCTTACGAAAGAAAATATATAATTTGGACAGATTTGTGACTCACCCTCCATAACATACACAATGGAACCAACATCTCCTTCACGTATGATGGTTGAACCAGCCGAGAAGGTAACAGGATACATGCAATCCACGATCTCTCGGATCTGCGTCAGCTCGAGGTTCTTCATGAAGTCATTGTCCAAAATGGCTGCTTTGATCAGTTCACGAGATCTACGAACAGAAAAAAAAAAAAGAAACATGAAATACTTTCAATAATTGTCCATTTCATTTAAGAGAACAAAACAAAAATATAATCTAAACGTAAACTAAAAATAATAATATCATCATAATTCGCATAAAAATCATAAGATCAAAATTTGCAATACAAAAAGATCCAAATAATAAACTATTTCTAGACAATCTATCGTATCTTTAAATACGATAAATATTATTAATCGTAGAGTGGAATACGAATTTAAATGTAAACTAAAATAATAGTATTATCATAATTCATAAGATCACAAAAATCATAAGATCAAAATTTGCAATATGAAAACATCCAAATAATAAACTATTCTAGACAATCTATCTTTAAATACATATTATTAATCGCAGAGTGGAATATGAATTTAAATATAAATTAAAATAATAATATTATTATAATTCATAAGATCAAAATTTGCAATACGAAAAGATCCAAATAAGAAATTATTTCTGGAGAATCTATAGTATCTTTAAGTACATATTATTATTATTAATCGCAGAATGGAATATGAATTTAAAGTGCTCAAAAAAAAAGAAAAAGTACTTTACACGCGCGCACACCTTTGGTTATCAAACGATCCACAACATCAAGGTCATCTCCATTGATGATCAAATTAATCATCAAAAATAAACTTAAGAAAGTGTAATAAAAGCGTCGTCATTTCTAAATATACGACACAAGAGTTTGAGGTACGGCCACATTACTTATCTTCCCGTATATACTTACTCGGCACACAGCAATGTAACAGGTGCAGTGTGATAATAGTTCGGTGCTTTTGATGTTTCACTCGGAGAATAAATGCGAGCATTACCATCCTAACGTCAACTTGTAACGTTAAGCATCTTACGTAGCCGCTTAATGCGAAAATTGCTACGAGGATTCCTAGAATTTTGTTTGATTGAGCTGTTATAACATTTTTTTTTCTTCGTTAATACCGATCCACAGGAATTTATTCTTTTCTTCACCGTGAAATCGTTTGATAAATAACGTGTAAAATTGTACGATACTAATCGATCTTAATTTGATCAAAATAAGTTGTGATTTATCGCTGGATTTATATATACGATTTTCCATTCTATTAAAAATTACGTTTCAGCGTATGTTTATGTAATGTCCTTGGATATATTTATGGACTCGTGTCAGATTGTATTTTTCGATATTTTTTTAACAAGGCAATCTTTCAATTATTTTTTTTTTTTTTTAATTAATTTTAAGTTTTCAAAAATTTATTGGACGATGAATTTCGATAATTTTGGAAAAATTAGAATAAATTAGAATAAGTTGGGATATAGGATTTTTGTAATTAATTTAGATACGATGATAAAAATAAATTTTTGGAAACGCGAAAGTTAGGACGAATCGGGTATAGCTCGTCGATGAAAGAGGTTACTTAAGAAACGACACGAAGCGAAGTTAACGAAGCCACGTGTCGCGCATTAAAAATAGTCTGAATGTAACACCCTGTCACGTATTTTCGTTGTAACGCGATTTGTACAGGTGAAACCATGAGTTGAAAATTGCGCAACGCCATAACTAAATTTCACTCTTACAATAATTCTATGCTTGATCATTGAATCGATCTTTCTTGGCTTGGCTTCGAAGACAACAATAACGGATTACTATTATCGCTATTACTATATTGCATCGAGGTTATTAATAACGTTCTTTTAAAAGTACAAATTGTAATTATCTGCATCGTTATAAAAATTTTTAAACAAAATATTAGTATTTTTCTATAAAATTATTTCTATAAAATTCTGAGATTATAAAAAGGATTTAAAAATATCTCTATATTGTTTTTTTCCTTGAAATTGAATTTTTATGCAAATGTAAGAGAAAAAAATTGTCTGGATACATAATAATGCAATCTAAAAAAAGACAGATAAATACTAATCTAAAGAATATCAACGTGTATAAATAAACTATGATGAAAGATACGTAGGAAGATGAGAAACAACATGCATAATATTACGCTGATCTGTCACCGATGCATATAGATGTCACTAGATAACACTTCTAGTAACTTAAACGTTACCTAAAAACATCGATCAACTGCGTTCGAGAGCGGCTAATTTATTTGATCTCTGAAATAGTCGTATCTTCAAACTTTAGCAAAGCTTAACGTAAAAACAACATTTCATCATCGAGGTTTAAAAAAAGTATCTAAATTAGATTTAATAGATTAAGAAAGTTAAAAAATGAAAACTTATTAAAACTTTCGTGATTATTGATGGATCCTATAAACGAAAAATAAATATTTATAATTTAGTGTACAATATAGTTTACAATATAATTTACACTATATTTGTAAAATTGAGAAAAGATTGAGGAAATTTAGTGTAATTGAGAGTGACAGTGTCGAAATTATGTATATCTATGGATACAAAATTAGGATGTTGAATTTGATAACGTATCTCAAGATAATCGAAATAAATAATGCCTTCCCTTTTTTAAGCAATTACCAAAAATTCCAAAGACGTTAATGATTGTTATCGTTAATGTTTTGATGCCTCTATTGAAAAATGTATAGAATAAAAATATAATCGAATATTATACCGATGAATTCTGTAGTACCTTTGAGGTTTCTGAAACTTCACGATTACCCTGGTGTCTTTGGTAAGAGGCTCGGCGGAAATTGCCTGTCTCTTGGCTCTTTGGCCAGATCCAATGCCAGTGGAGGCCAGGCTGAAATCGACGATCTGCCGGAACTTGTCGATCTCGTTCTGAAGATATCGAATGGTAATATCTCGTTCTTCCAAAGCTTTTTCGAGCATCTCGATCACCTCGTCGCGACGTCGTAACGCCTCTGTCCTCTCGTACAGCAATCGTTTTAGATCTCGTATCGAATCCATGATTGGGAAATATCTCTTATTTATTTAATTTAATAGATAATTCGTTCGCCCTTGGAATATTTTAGGAGGGAGGTACATGTGCACTGAAATTTCCGTATTCTTAATTGCTTTAATTAATTAATTTAATTTGATTTTATATATCTTATACACTTTTACTTCTACACTGATGCTTTCTTTTTTTCGTTGGATCACTTTTGATGTGTAATTGATATCCTTTTTTTTTAAGCTCGTACTGGAGGATAAGTTTTTGAATCGTTTCAATGATTTATATTTCTTCTTCACTCTGCACGTATTATTATTGTTATTTTAATGCAATAATAATTTGTTAGGAAAAAATTTTAATAAAATGACATTTATTAATGAGATTGGTGATTCTGAGTGGAGTAGATTGTTTGATATTTCACCGATTTATAATGTTTGAATATTTAAAAATTTAAAAATTATTGGATTATTTCGTCATACAATATTCAAGAAATATCGAATTATTTCGATCATATGGAAAGCTACTTTAAAAGAATCGTGATAGATAAAAATATCGTCATAAATTAAAACCTTCGATGTATTATCTCTCAAGATATCTGAGAAACAAATTTAAATTAAAATATCTGCTAAAGATAAAGTTGTATATCTGATTTGAATCGTATTTTGAAAACAATTTGGGACAATTCCATCCATGTTTAATGAACGTGTTATTATCGTTTGCAAGGAAATTAATATTGCTTGAACTATAAATCTGAATATAGATAGATAAAGATCTAAGCGGAAGCAAATAGAAATAGAGCTTCCCAAAGATTATTAAAATTCTTCTATAAGATCGATAGATCTGGAATTCACGATTTTACGATAACAATTTATTTTGAAATTCGCTCATCGACTTTGAATCGAATGTCAACTCGAATCTCGTAATCGAATTAAAGTAAAATTTCTTATACGCTGTTTCAATAATATTCAGAATATGCTCGTTAATTTTTCTCATAAACGTGACGAGATATATATAAATTCATTAGAAATAATAGAAAATCTTTTTCCTTTAGGTCAAACATTCCATGCAATAATAAATCGCAAATGCAATCAATCGTTTTGATAAGGAAGTAAATTCTAAGTTATTATTACTACACATTTTATGTAACTGATAATTTATATTAAAAAAAAAAAAAAGAAAAAAAAAGAAAAAAAAATATTGAAAAGAAAATTGGCCGTTTTGATGGAAGACGATTTTTCTTTTTTTTTTAATTTTTTTTTTTATTTCTTTTTATTTTTTTCTCCTTTGCATCAATTTGTTCCAGCAAGATACCAGGTATTCCGATTATGTAATAGCAATTTCGAACGTTCTTGAGCTTCTCTGATAGAATCGAAGTAGGTATACGTACTTTCGAAAATAACCGTGGAATAATAATGATCGACACTTCTGACGACTAGTTGGTGTCTTGTCAGCCTTCCTTTTGTATTTTGAAGCAAGAATAGAATAGAGTTCGCTTTCAAAATTATTTAAATTATATTCATTCCTCTAATAATTGGACTTCACTAACGCTATACGATAAATTTATAATTACTTTTGCCCAAGAAACTTAGATGTATANATTTTATTGCTTTCCAATTTTTTTACGACGTTATTTTACACAATTGGTAAAGAATTATTTTTTAAATACTTTTTTTTCTTTGTAACCCTGTGATTAATCATATTGAAATTATTTCGATCGACGAGTGTATGATTCGAGCAAAATTTATAATTAATAAAAATATCGACATCCGGAAGTGTTACAGATAATTTTAATTTGTCAACATGCAAGTGAAAATTTAAAGAATCATTTCGATCTTAAAAATTGCCTCGATCTATTTGAATAAACGGAATAATTTTATCGAGTATAATTTTATCAAAATAACCAAATATAATAAGATTTTTAAATTATAAGGTTTAAAAAAAAAAATTTCATTCGAAAAATACCAATTTCTGGTCACGATTAAATTTTTAATAAATACCTACGATCTTCATAACCGTCATAATATTATTTTTGACGTAATTGTTATCACCCTTATCTTTATCTTTCTACGAAAATATCACTATTTTCACACGAAATCTCACGTGTCACATCAATCACCATTTCGATACGATC